TTGCGGCATGAATTTTAGATTTAGGCATTGCCGCATGTCAAAATTCAGGTAAAAATTATGCCGCAATAATTTCTACGCCATGTATACCTAGATAGTCTTGACTTTTCTAATGGGTTTGGGTTGCAGATACAGTAATCTGAGCATTTATAATTTGTATTTATTTATAAATTAGATATTTTGTGTAATTTTTCTATATAACTATTTATATAAATTACTTAATAAAAATAGAATAGATATAAATTATTTTTTATATAATCTATATTGTACAATTGAATTTTATTATCAAAAACAAAAATTTATCTTTAATAAAAATTTTATATTTATGACAACCTTTTACCAAACTTATATAATTTAAATACTTTTTTTCTTTTTTTATAATAGTAAAATTTAAACCCTATATTATTTTAAAAAGGTTAACTTTATATATTGATAAAATCTTAGATAAGTTTAAATATTCTTAGATCATACAAGAATTGCTAATTCTAATTGGTTAAATCATAATCTTTACAATTTTTTATTAGTGATTTCATATGTTTTACTATATGATTACTATCAAAAATTATCAATGTTCACCCTATTCTTTAAAATAATTAGTAAAGTAGCTAGACTAGAGAGTTTAGTTCTTATTGGACACTTAAAATCCTATTCACGGTTGGACGAAATTCTAATAATATAAAAAAAAAAGACAAAAAACATATTTCAGTATTAGTACTAAGATCAAATAAGACATAGATACTACTAGAATTATGGAAGGAAATTTTTTTATTAAAATACGAAAGGTGGTTCATAAACAAAATCGTGAGTCACCGGAAATATTTGAAAAGCTTTGGATTTTTTCATAATTTTTGGGTTACACCTGATCTTGTGAAAGACGGAAAGTGGCGTAATATACTTTGCCCAATCAGAAAGGCATTTACATACATCCAATCAGGAGTGGGGGAGAAATTAAGGCATCCGAAAATGACAGCTCAAAATAAATCAATGAATATGAATTCGGGTTCTGTCTGACATTTATCTTATTTGCTAAAAACAGCATATAAATCTATTCGAAATAACTTTATGCTATTTCAATAATGCTAATTCAATTGACTAGATGAAGAACTCAAAAAGTTCATTTTCATAATATTGAACACAGGGTCACCATCTTTTATCTTTGTTCGTCATGAAAACTCCATTAAACGTTTCCTTCTACGAAATCGACAACGATTCATATCCGCCCTGCAGTTAATTTCGTCAACAAATTTTCCTATGGATTTACGCATATCTTATCATTATGATTTTTACTCTCAAATAGAAGATGCTTAGCTTTTATGAATTCAATGACGATCTATATTGTCTACAAATTAGAAATCATTTACAGCCACTATTTCTGTCACCTAAACCGAACATCATAGTCATTGTCCGCAGTAAAATCAGTAAAGGAATCTTGTTAATCCAATGGTGATCAGATCGCTACAGTATCGATCATCGAAGGATAGTCATTGTAGTAAGAATGAAATAAAATCTTACCTTCACCTATCCCTAATATAATTACATTCCTACTTAACACATATAAAAGATATTTTAATAAGTTTAATTCTTTCATATACATTATGATTAAGTACATAGTGATAAAATACATCGTTTTATTACTCTTTATTAGCAAATCATTCGCTTCAACTCTATGCGGTGTTATAGTTCATAGTGTCGCAACCATCGCATTTGGAAATTATTTATCTGCTACCACAGGCTTATTTCTGACTTTCTTTCGAAGTCCTGACAGAAAAGATTATTCATGGTCCGCTCAACTAAGAAAATACGTAGTTCTCTCCGCATCCGCACAATTATTAGGAGTAATATGTCTTATGACCTACATGACAACTAGATTCTTCATGCTTAATAATGATGTTTTGCCTGAGTTTCTTCATAGGTCCTCAATAGCCATGTATATTGTTTGTGCTGCGAGTGCTTTTACTTCTTTTGTAAGGATTATTTATCTTACTAGCGTTACTTGGCCCTATTTACCAAACTACCATTATGCTGCTAGTACAGAACGTCAGAAAAAAATTCAAAGTATTTTTGGTTATATTCAAATCATTCACTTTATTATTGTCTATATTATTCAAATGATTTTTCAAATATTTATGAAAATTAAATATCCTTCTGTTGGTTACATGTATACTTTTCAAATTGTTAGCATCCTTTCTATGTTATTAGCTATTCCATTATCTGTAGTAATAATTTGTTGTACTAAGTCCTATGAAAAATCGATATACGTTTTTGTATTACCTTTCGTATTTCAGATATATTTACATGTTGGTTATGTTAGTTTTTATTTATATTGTGATGAGGGTTATTTATCTTCTTCATTATTATTTTTTAGTAATTTCGCTTTAGGTAATGTTCTTCATGGTACCTTTTTCTTGATTTTCGGTGAAATTAAATAATTAATATGAATTTCATCAAGCTAATAGAAATCCTTTTTTGGATGTAACTATGATTTTCATTTGTCTTTTTTTTAGAAAGTATACATATTAAAATTTCTATGGGTGTTAGTGTTTGTAGTCGATTTCACATTAGTCGATAAAATCAGCTTAGCCGACTTAGTCAGCCGATTTTTTGAAAAATCGGCTTGGCCGACTACAATAGGTTATATATATGTTAGATTAAAATTTAGGGCAGTTTATACTAGAAGCCGAAAATTTCCGAAAAGAAAATCAACGAACATAAAAAATTCGAGAAATCTCCGATAACTTCCGAAGTTTAATCAAATAGAACTTCGAATAATCGACTCTGACTTAGCCGGCTAAGCCGAATTTTAAATATCGACTTAGTCAAGTTGATAAATAATGGGCGACTACAAACACTAATGGGTATTAATATGTGAACGCTATAAATAAAAAATAATGTGACTACAATAGCACAATATCTATCGAATATTAAGAATTGGAAATCCGAAATACAAATATAACTAGATCAACCCTTGCTTATAAACGATGCGCTTTTAATCCATTTAGTGATTATTTATTTAACAAACAGGCTATCCTGTTTACAATCTAGTCTAATCGTTTTTACTAGACTAAATTTGATAAGTAACAAGCTTCGTTGATTTTAGAACCAAAGGTTTGACCTTAAAAGCAATACAGATTACGAATTAGTTTTTGAAAACTCGACTATACCAAGACAGAAAGATTTTTCCACACTTGTAATACAGTAATAATCAATAATCGTGTTACGTTATTATATGATCACGTGTCTTGAAAGTCCTGCGCCGTCATTATTTTTACGTATGTACGTACAGTACGTACGCACAATTTAAAGTTTCGGTAAATTTAAAGTGTACAGTCAACTATCGATATAACGGACACCCTTACAGTGGATTCAAGGTTTAATGGATCAAACGTGAAGTACCGAATTTTAATAGGCGATTTAAGCCGATTAGGCCGTTCAAAGTTGAATAGTTGTTTAACGTCATCCCCCCCCTCTCGATTAGCTGTCCCCCCAGAAATTAAACAAGCCAATCACGACGCAGGATAATCTCCAATAATCATGTGGTTAAAGTTGGC